CTTTATCTGTCTATTGTTTCTTATACATACTGCCTTGACTGATAACTTTCTTAGTTCAGGTATCATGTTCTTAGTTTTGTTAAATTTAATATTGTGTTAGTTCTTCTGGTCATTTGACTCTATCAAAACTTTATCTGTTTGTCAGTATCCACACAATAGTTGTTGGGAATTTTGACTATGATTATATTGAGTCTGTAGAACTGACCCCTGTGCTATATTGTGTCTTCCTACCAGTGAGCATGGACAGTCTGACCACTTAGGTCAGAAGTTTTACAGTCTGCAAAACATTGTATGTACTTTTTGGGCTTATGCCTGCATTTCATTTTTATAGTGCTAATAAAAATGCTTTAATTTCCAATTCCGTTTACTAACTGTTGGCACCTTGAGAAGTGGCTGAGAGTTTTTTGTTTTTTGTTTGTTTTTCAGGATAGGGTTTCTCTGCATAACCCTGGAATTTGTTCTACAGACCAGGCTGGCCTTGAACTCACAGAGATCCACCTGTGTCTGCCTCTCCAGTTCTGGGATTAGAGGTGTGTGACACGACTGCTCAGCTTTGAGTTTTTTTTTTAATGTATTTGTCTATTTTTATATTCTACAACCATCTTGTAATCACTACTTGATTTAAGGTGACTTTCTTTTGCTCATTCTGTTGTATTTTCTACACAGATAGACATGTTATCCTCCAACAAAGTTTTTCTCTTTCCTCCCAATCAGCATATCTTTTATTTTCTTGCCTAATTGTATTATCTAAGCTTCTGGTACAATGTTGAAAGGGATGATGAGAGAAGACCTTCTTATTGTCCCTCATCCCAGCAAGGAGACCTTGAGTTTCTCTATGTGATATCATGCCAGTTTTCTTCTTTAATCTATTGGTATGATGACTTACACCAAACAGTTTTCAAAAAGTTGAAGCTTGCATTTCTTGGATAAATCCTATTAGTTGTAGCATATAATTCTTCCTATACATTGTTAGATTTCATCTGCTAGCATTTTGTTGAAGATCCTTAGATGCATCTGTGTAAATGTGGTATTGGTCTGTGGATTTTATTTTCTTGTGATGTCTTTGGTCTTATGATTATGAGGGTTGTGCTGGCCTTACAGAATGAATTGGGAAATATTTGCTGTGACTCTTGTCTTCTAGAAAACTGGTGCAATCTTTCTAAATGTATATAGTTCTTAACAGTATGTATTTTCTAAATGTATATAGTTCTTAACACTATGTATTTTCTAAATGTATATAGTTCTTAACACTATGTATTTCCTAAATGTATATAGTTCTTAACAGTATGTATTTTGCAAAGTTATTGAGGATCAGTTTCTTTCTAGATTGTGACTCTCAGGTAATTAATTGGTCCATTTCACTGGATTGTCAAATTTTGGCCAAAAGTTGTTTATAAATTACTATTTAATATCTCTGAGATATAGAGTGTTTTCTCTTTCATTTTTGATACTAGTAATTATATATTTCTTAGCCTCCTAAAGTCCTAATTTTATTTCAACTGTAAAAAGTTATATTTAATTTCAAAACATTATGTGTAGTCTTTTGAGTCTGTTCTGCTCTTTAATTAATTTTCAGTAAAACTGGGGACAACTACAAAGTCCTTTAAAAGATGCATTACTTTTTGTTTGTGTCTCTGTGTGTGTATGTGTGTGTGTGTGTGTGTGTGTGTGTGAGAGAGAGAGAGAGAGAGAGAGAGAGAGAGAGAGAGAGAGGAGAGAGAGAGTGTGTGTGTGTGTGTGAGAGGAGAGATGCATCAAGGTGCCTATGGAAGCCAAGTGGGGGCACTGGATCCCCTGGAACTGGAGTTGTGGGTAATGGGAACTAAAACTATGTCTTCTACAATTTACTCATCAAGTGTTCTTAATGACTAAGCCATCTCTACAGCCCCAGTATCTTTTTCAAAGAGCCAGCTTTGTCTTTGATTAACACTGCTACTTGTTTCCTTGTTTCAGTTTGATCTTCACTTATTTTTTCTTTCTTCTGCTTAATTTTAGTGAATTAGCAGATTAATTACTTAATTAGCTGATAGTGGTCCCATGGCTGCCTACCTTTGATTTCCTTTCCCTGGCAGCTGGAACTACCATCATCAGCTTACTCTGCTTTTTGTTAGTTTCTTAAGATGAAAGCTTCGAAGTTATTGTTACTACTTCATCTACCTATGCACTGAGTGCCAGGAAGGTCTCTAAGCAGCAACACTTTCACTTCATCTTACAACTCTTGACATTAGAGAATTTCATACGTAAGTACTGTATTTCCACCCACCCTCTCCTCCTCAAACTCCCTGACTACCCGCTTCCCTTCAATCCATGGCCTGTTTAGTTATTATTGTTACACACACACACACACACACACACACACACACACACACACACACACACACACACACAAAATATGTATTTAGGGTTCACCGCTTGGAATTAGAGCCAACCATTGCTTGTAACTTGTGAGACTTCCCCTAGCCATGTTGCGATGTTATCTGATGATATCATTGCTTAGGTCTTGTTTAGGCAAACTTACTGTTAGGATTTCATGGGTACAATACCTGTCATACATATGAGACACTCACAGCAGGCTTCCAGTTCTCCGTTCTTACTTTGTGCCATTCTGAGTTTATCCTACAAATTCAAGAAAGATGCGTTTTCCATTATTTTAAAATATATTTCCAGCTGTCTTCTGTTACTTATTTGTTTGATTCCTTGATGGTCTAATTTAAGATTTCTTTTTAAATTGTTGATGCGAGTGTCTTAATGTCTTTTTCTGTTGACGTCATTAAATGCTTTGATAAAAGCAACTCCAGGGAGAAAGAAAGGGTTTATTTCAGCTTACAGTTTGAGGGCACAGTCCATCAAGGTGGCAGGCATCTTAAGCAGCTGGTCCTGTCACACCCAGTCAGGAACAGAGAGCAGTGAGTGCTCAGCTCCTTTCTCCATGTATATAGTCCAGGAAAGGCCATCCACAGTGGGCAGCAGTGAACATAATCAACTCCCCATCCCATGTTCTGAGGCCCCAGGCAATTCTAGATGCTGTCAATAATTGACACTATCACAGCTGTTTTTTATAGCCTTGAATGTAAGCTTAAGAGTGTCATCTGGTGTCTGTGCTGTGCACATGCCTTCTCTCCAGTTTACTGATGGTGCCCATGAGTTCATGGTAAAGTGCTCATGTTTGGTGGTTTCAGGGGATATAACTCTAGATTGACAGCTTACTTTTTTTTTGTAATGTTTTTATTTAAATTAGAAACATGAATGCTTCACATGTCAATCCCAGCTCCCTCTCCCACTCCTCCTTCCTTCTCCCTCTACCAGCCCCTCCAGCCCCCCACCCAATCCCCACATCATTCCCCAGGGAGGGTGAGGCCCTTGGGAGGATCTCTAAAGTCTGTCATTTCATCCAGGGCAGGACCTAGGCCCTTCCCCATGTGTCCAGGCTGAGAGAGCATCCCTCTATTTGGAATGGGCTCCCAAAGATCATTCATAAACCATGGTAAACACTAAGACTACATTCATGGAGTCTGGATCAGTCTCCTGTTGGCCTCTCGGGCATTAGTCTGGGATTCAAGAGCCCCTTGTCTGGTCAGCTGTCTTTGTGGGTTTCACCATCATGGTCTCGACCCCTTTGCTCATCCCTCCTCCATCTCTGTTACTAGGTTCCAGGAGTTCAGTTCAGTGTTTAGCTGTGGGTATCTGTCTCTGCTTCCATCTGTCACTGGATGAAAGTTCTAGGATGGCATATAAGGTAGTCATCAAACTTACCATCAAGGAGGGCATTTAATGTAGTCTCTCCACTATTGCTTAGTTTGCCAGTTGGTGTTATCCTTGTAGATCTCTGGAAATCTCACTAGTGTCAGCTCTCTCCTCACACCTATAATGACTCCATCTATTATGGTATCTCTCATCCTGCTGTCCTCTATTCTTACCTCGACTCAACCTTCCTGCTCCCCCATACCTTCTTCTCCCCTCCTCTTCTCCCCCTCTCTTTTTCCTGGCTCCCTCTCCCCTCCTGACAGCTTACTTCTTTTTTTTTTTTTTTTTTTGACAGCTTACTTCTTAAGCAGCACCACATCTTTTGTCTTCTACTTGCCACTCAGTTGTTTCCTCAAAGATTGTTGCTATGATTTGAATGTTTGTGTGCCCAACAAAACTCAGGTTCAAATTTAATCTTCCCTGATATAATTAAGAGGTGATTGAACTTGTCACCCTTAAGACAGGTTTTTTTTGTCCTTCCATCATTCAAATCTAGAGATTTAAGATACTCTCCTAGGAGCAGACACCAGGCCTGAAGCTGGCATAGAAGAACTTGCTGGTGGCCTGAGTTTGCATTGTCCAGCTTCTAGAACCTCATCTGGTCTTTATAAATGATCCAGTGTCAGATCTTTTGTTAGAACAGCCAATTGATTGAGGCAATTTCTTAAAACCCATTGCTTTCATAAACTGTGGCGCTCAGGGGATTGTTTGTTTGTTTTTTCTGTCCCTTGTATCTGGGAGCAGATTTAACTTTATTCTGTTTGGGGCAGTGTTTTTTTTTTTTTTTTTAATGTAAGGTTCTTTCACCAACTTGTTTAAAATATTACTCCTTCCCTCCTTTGGTCTGCACTCCCTACCTCCCTTCCCCTCCTCCCACTTCAGGGTTATTTAGTGTGTTGTTTCAAAGAGCTCACCACATGCTCACAAGGGGAGGCAGGACTATGCTCATTTTACAGCTAAGGAAGAAAGGCTCTTATTTTTTTAATGATACAGGAAGGGTAGATATCCTACATATGGCCGTGAGAATCTGCCATGAGAATTGGCGTTGCCTGCATTCTTATGCCATGCTGTGCTTAGGTATTAGCTCATTGTCAGCCATAAAGAACAGTTTTTTGCAGGTTTATTCAAGTTGATCCATTAAAATTTTGAGTTGCTGCTGTGTCTCTGTATAAGGACTGTAATTGGAGTTCTTTTTATAATCTAGGTAACATGCCTTTTTAAAATTTGCTGACATGCTTTCTGCTTTCATTCTGTAGACTTATAATGGTCTTCAGTTGCCAAAGAAGGCTGTGGATGCCAAAGGAAAGGTAACCAGTTTCTCCAGTGCATTTGGATGCCTCTAGCAGTCCATCTTGGCTGGCTGTAGACATGGCAGACATGGCCAGTTACAAGGATGCTGCCTCCAGTCGCCACCTACGATTTAAGTTACAGAGCCTGAGCCGCCGCCTCGATGAGTTGGAGGAAGCCACAAAAAATCTCCAGAAAGCTGAGGATGAGCTCCTGGACCTCCAGGAGAAGGTGATCCAGGCGGAGGGCAACAACTCCAGCATGCTGGCTGAGATTGAGGTGCTTCGCCAGAGGGTACTGAAGATTGAAGGTAAAGATGAGGAAATCAAGAAAGCAGAAGACCTGTGTCATATGATGAAGGAGAAACTTGAAGAGGAGGAAAACCTTACCCGAGAGCTGAAATCTGAGATAGAGTGGCTTCAGAAACGAATGGCTGATTTAGAGAAGCTAGAAGAGGCCTTGAGCAGGAGCAAGAATGAATGTTCCCAGCTTTGTTTGAGCCTGAATGAAGAGAGAAATCTGACCAAGAAAATCTCTTCTGAGTTGGAAATGCTCAGAGTCAAAGTGAAAGAACTGGAATCTTCGGAGGATCGCTTGGATAAAACTGAGCAGAGTTTAGTGTCAGAATTAGAAAAGCTAAAATCATTAACCATGAGCTTTGTAAATGAGAGAAAATACTTGAATGAAAAGGAGAAAGAAAATGAGAAACTAATAAAAGAGCTTACTCAAAAACTGGAGCAGAACAAGAAAATGAGCCGAGATCATGCGAGGAATGCGTCTACCCTTCTGGAGAGGAATGACCTGCGCATCGAGGACGGTATCTCCTCTACACTGTCGTCCAAAGAGTCCAAAAGGAAGGGCAGTCTGGACTACCTAAAGCAGGTTGAGAATGAAAGCAGAGACAAATCAGAAAATGAAAAGAACTGGAACCAGGAGGACAACAAAGTCAAAGACCTCAACCAAGAGATTCAGAGACTTAAGACCCAAATCAGACACTTCGAATCTTTGGAAGAGGAGCTTAAGAAAATGAGGGCTAAAAACAATGACCTTCAGGATAATTACCTAACTGAACTGAATAAAAACAAAGCCTTAGCTAGCCAACTAGAGGAGATAAAGCTGCAAGTCAGGAAACAGAAAGAGTTAGGAAATGGGGACATAGAAGGGGAAGATACTTTCCTATTGGGCAGAGGCAGGCACGAGAGGACTAAGTTCAGAGGTCATGGGGGTGAGGCATCCATGTCCAGGCATATACCCCGGGAACTGTCTCCTCAACATAAGCGGGAAAGGATCCGGAACAGGGAGTTTGCTCTTAATAATGAAAATTATTCTCTGAGCAACAAGCAGGCTTCTTCTGCTTTCACCAACAGAAGGGCAGCAAAAGCTTCCAACATGGGAGTGGGTGTAGACAATGGACCTCAGGAGACAAAGAGAGCTGAAGACCGATTTGTACCTGGGTCCTCTCAGAGTGAAGGAAAAAAGTGTAGGGAGCAGCCATCAGTGCTTAGCCGTTACCCGCCAGCTGCCCAGGAGCACAGTAAAGTTTGGAAGGGAACTCCCAAGCCAGGCACTGAGAGTGGACTTAAGGGGAAAGTAGAAAAGACAACTCGAACATTTAGTGACTCCACCCAGGGACCTGTTCCCAGTGACACAGTGGGTAGAGGTGATAAGACTTCTGAGATCTCCTCTGAGGCCCACTATGGCAAGAGAGGACAGGTGCCTGGCAATGGAAGTCAAGTAACTCAGGCTGCAGATTCTGGCTGTTCTAAGGCCACCGGAGCTCTGTCCTCATCTCAAAGAGCCTCCTCAGAAGGGATTTCTAAGGGTAAAAGGGCTGCTAATGGCCTGGAGGCTGATGCCAATTTTCCAAATTCTAAAGCTCCTATTTTATCAAAGTATCCATATAGTTCAAGAAGCCAGGAAAATATCCCTCAGGGCTTTTCAGTGCCAAATAAAGAAGGCCTTGATCAGTCTGTAGCAGTTGTGATGGAAGACAGCAGTCAGCATGAAGCCCTGAGGTGTCGTGTCATCAAATCCAGTGGCAAAGAGAAGCCGGACTCAGATGATGACTTGGACATAGAATCTCTTGTTACTGCCAAGTTGGTGAACACAACTATCACTCCGGAGCCAGAGCCCAAACCACAGCCAAACTCTAGGGAAAAGGTCAAGTCCCGAGGAGGACCTAGAACTGCCCCATTTGAAAATGATAAAAATGCTGCAATAGAAAATGAATCTGTGAAATCTACCAGAGCTTCCTCCAATGCTGTTGAATTCCCAGATGCCAATGGTGCTGGGGTAAAAAACCAAAGGCTCTTCAGCCCCAGAGAGGCCCTGCGGTCTAGAGCAATCATAAAACCCGTTATCATTGATAAGGATGTGAAAAAAATCATGGGAGGATCTGGGACTGAGGTTGTATTGGAGAAGCAGAAATCCACCTCTAAACCTGTGCCAAGCAAAGTGACAAGCAGCATCACCATCTACCCCTCTGAGAGCAGTGGCCCTAGAGCTGTCCAAGGAGAGACCCCAAGGGAGAGGCATACCTCCACCAGCAACATCCAGGTGGGGCACCCAGAGCTTACATCAGTTAGCAACCATGTTAACTCCCCCCTTGAGCTCTCTATTCATAAACATGACATTACCCTGCAGCTCACAGAAGCTGAAAGAATAGGAGATGGGTCTCCAAAGACTAGACTAGAGACAGTGGTCTCTCGGAGCAGCATTCTCATCAAGCCATCTGATTCTGTGGAGAGGAATAGTCATGCCCCTCAAGCTGAGGCAGTCAGGTGGAAAAGCCATAGTGCCTCTTCGGAGGTGAGCTCCTCAGACACTAGACACGTCACTGTGCGGAATGCCTGGAAGAGTAAGCGAGACTTTAAATGTTCAGAAGATGCCCCAATTCGAGTAGGTAGGCACATGGAATCTACTAATGCCTACATACACAGGTCTTCCACAGACTTCTTAGAGCTTGAACAGCCCAGGCCTCTCCCTTCTGAACAGAGCACTCGAAAGGTAGGAGATGCAGGGGATGCTCCTGAACTCCCCTCTAGAAGGACCCAAAGTAGCCTCACTGCAGCAGAGGTTATCACCCGGAGGAACCGGATAGGAGATGCCATCACTGCCACCTCCTGGAATCACTCAGCAAGCGTGGTGAGTCTCACTTTCCTTCCCCTTCCATTTCCCCTCAGCCTTGATCTGTTCGCCTAGGATTTAGGGAACCCAGGATGCTGAGAAATACTGAGTCTAAGGTAGGTTTGGCAAAAAGCAGCATAACTTCCAGAACCCCCTCATCTAGTTTGCCTTCTTCATTTTCCTTTCACATAAGGGGAGCAAACAGAAAGTGGCATTTGTTCCTTGGTTTGCCTGAGATATCCAGAGCAGTGAACAAGACGCTCTTGGGTGCCTGTGGAGTCAGTGTCTTCCTATCCTGCTGCTTCAGGTGGTGAGCAGGTCTCTGTGGGCAGCCAACAGATAGGGAGAGTGAGGGCCGACCCTGGACCTACTTTATAAGTGTCACTTTCTTGTCCCAGATAGGCCTGACCCATTGTTTTTTCTGCATGCCAATGCTTCTGTATGGCTCATCAAAGGACGGGTGAGTCCACAGCCAACTGACTTGAGACCCAGAGTGTTAGAACAGAGCCTGAGAAAGCCCCAGGGGCGTCTTGAACCTGGACCCCTTGACCATGAAAATATCTTGCTTCTAGACACATAGTACCATTTAAAATTCACATTAAATTTTATTTATTTAACGTGTATGGGTGTTTTGTTTGCATCTATGTCTGTATCAAGTCTGTGCCTGGTACCACAGAAGCCAGGAGAGTGTCAGACACCCTGGGACTAGAGTTACAGATGGTTGCGAGCTGCCATGTGATGTTAGGAATTGAACCTATATCTTCCGGAAGCATAGGTGGTGCTCTTAACCATTGAGTCACCTCTCCAGCCCTATGCTAGGCTGTCAGTCTTTTAGGTTGACATTTGGCTTCACCCCATATCCCTTAAAACAGCCCTGTGAACAGTACTGTCCTCGCTTTTCATATCTGAGTAGTAAAGATGAAGTTCTCAGACAAGGCCTTATTCAAGGTCATCCAGATGAGGAAACCAGAGTACAGGCTGGAACCTTAGGAATGCCTCTCTACCACGATTGCCTGCCTTTTCATATTCATTACTCTTTGACAAGGAATATTGGCAAAGCAGGATTCCAAGGGAGAAAGATGCCTATCTCAGGTCCTAAAGATTTGCCTGAGTTTCCAGGGAGACACAAGCCAAGGGACAGAATGATGTAAGAGGAAAGCACACGGCTTTTTCATAGATCATACATAGGAAATAAAGACCTAACTTTCTTTTTAGCATACTCCTGCCACGCGCAAGGAAGTGGCTTTCACACGTATGGATCCTTGTTCCCGTACTCCTGTTCTAGGCTCTGTTCAGTTATGAGCCTCTTGGTTTCCTCAGTTCTTTATTTCCAAGTAGTTTTAGCTTGTGTTGCGCTCCCCCCCCCCATCTTTGCACTTACCGTGTAGTATCTATTCCAGGTGGGGGAGCTTACCAGGGTGCAAGGTTAGGTTGTCTCATTCCTCCCTGTGCTGTGTCTATAGCTCACCTTCTATTTTGTTACTCGTTGGCACAGGAGGAAGGAGAAGACGGCACATCTGTTACCAGCAGGCAAGTGCACAACGCCCTGGAGCATTCTGAACTGCCTGGGAAGCAGGGCTTGCCAGAGCCTGGAGTCTGGGCTGAGGAGCCGCTACAGCCAGCCAGGTCTTATGCTGCCGAAGACTAAGCCAGCTAGGTGAAGTCTGCTGTTTCTTCCCTCCTCCTGCTTCTCAGCTCCTCCCCTTTCCTGGCCTGTGAAGGCTCCAAGGCCCGTTAATCAGGCTAGAAACAAGGCCTTGGCTGGAGACTGGAGAGCCAGGCTGTGGCTCAGGTAATTTTTGCCAGTTGCCCAGTAGGATCAGAGACTACAAACCAGTCACTCAAGCCAGCCTTCCCTGATGCATGAGTAGTCCTCTCTCCTATGCCTGTCCCCAAGGTAGCATGGACCACTCTCAGACCCTCAAATGGGAAGCGACAGAAACCCACCACCATATAGAGGCAACCAAAAGCTCTCTTCTGCTCTTTGGTGAGCTGTTTGTATATCAAATCCCAGCCCCTTTTGCTGCTGCTGTCTCACCATATCCACTTGGTTCTTCCTTTGCCCTAAGAGATTCCCCTTGGAACTGTCAGCCATCATTTCCATCTAGGGGGCTTGCTTACATTCCTGTCTTTGAGTTCTTGAGAATTTGGAAACAGAAGAAGAGTCTGTGCTGCTGCTCCTAAGGAATTATGGGACCACCCTTATGTTGAAGCTTCCCTGAATCAGCTTTTGGCTAACCAGTTTCCTGGAGGCAGAGCATGATACCAACTGGATTGATACTATCCTGCAGCTCCAGCACTCAGCTCACCTTCCAAAGGCATCAGAAACAGACAGATCTCATGCTTCTCCTTTCCTGGGCACCAACATTGCTGCTGGTATCACCTGTGTTCTCCCCAAGGCCTGGGAACTTCAGCCAACTTCATCATTCTCATCTTGGGGAAAATCCCCAGACTGAGCTGGCTGATCCAGCATACCCTCCCTGCCTTCTAGGAAGTGCCCAGCTAATGGGAAAGCAAACAAGAATAAGTGAATTCCTTTAGTCACTCCACAAGCAATAGCTCCATGAAAGGCATGGACTGACTGCTCTCTCTTTCCTCCTCCATCCTGTGGAGGAGGCCTCGCACTTTACCCTGCTGACTGCTGATGGCACCATTCCCACAAAAGCAAGCCCTTGGTGTCTACGAGTAGATCATTATTTCAGTGATTTCACTGGAGGAAAGTCAATACCTGCCTGTTGAGGGCCTCAGATTTATGCAGTTCAAAGTGCATTACGCCTTTTAGGAAGGCAGACAAATAAAAAACTTTCATCTCCTTATACCAATCACACAGGGAGGTTAAGAACTGTTTACTTGTTGCTGAATTTTTTGAAGCACTCAAAGGGATCCTCCATGGCTACCTAAGTGGAGTGGATGTCATTGCCTTATCATTAGACTAGGAGTCTGGAAAGCCACCTTTCCCCATCCCTCCTGGCTTTGTCACTCCTTGCTCTGTGACCTTACGGAAATCATTGTCTTCTTGGAGCCTCAGTTTCCCCTATTTTGAGATGTTCTTTGTTGGTCATTCATTTGTTGCTCACATGTGTGTATACACGTGCGTGCTGGGGTTGAACGTAGGATGTGGCATGCTAGGCCAGTGTTGTCCCACTGCTGTTTCACAGCTCAGAATGAGTTCTTTGGAGTGGATGATCTCTAAGGCCTTAACTTTGGTGTTCTAAGTTTGTTTTCACCGCTCGGTGTGAGCTGACTCTTGCTTTTGAAGGTGGTGTCCACAGGAGTCTAGGGAATGTGTTTAAGCCTTCAGTTGTCTTCTGGGTCTTATGCTTTCTCCTTTCCTCATGCTTCTGTCATGGGGTTGAGCTCAGAGACTTTCCTAAGGCCTATCTTCAGTCTGAAGTGAAGGTTTTAGATTGGGTGGTCTCAGGTCTATGTGGCACAGGCGTTTCCCAGTGCCACATTTCCTGGCTTTCAAGCTAGGTGCTTTCTATAACACAAGTTGGATTGATTCCTGTTTTTGTGCCTCTTCCTGTGAATTTCCTAGTGACAGGGAAGACTCAGGACATCCTCAGGAGGACTGAGTAGTCTCCTCCACCCTTACTCAGCACACACACACTGGCACTCATCTGCCCTTGTCTGCATCAGACTCAGCCATCCTGCCAGGGTGTGGGGAGATCTACTGTGGTTTTTTGTTGTTATTGTTTTGTTTTGTTTTTTAATCCCCAGGGTCAGGAACAACTTGCTAGCATTTGTGTTTCAGTGGAGTTTTGCTAACCTGAGGGCATTGCCATGTGTCTTGCCTCCACATCCCAGCTTGATGTACAACTAGGGTAGTGTTTTCAAGATCTGTTCCTGCTGCTGCTTTTGGGTCGCTGGCCAGATACTCATTTAAGGCTGCAACCTCTCACTTGCAGTCCCCCCCCCTGCCACTCTCCTGTACCAGTTGGCAGCCCTGAGAGTTCAAAGGAAACAGACCTCTGCGGTGGTCCACTGAAGAGTATAGGAAATTAAGTCTGTGGCTCTTCTCTGCTGATAGAAACAGGGGCACCAAGCCCTGCATCTAAAGATCTCGCCAATAATTTTTGTCTTTGGGTGTTGAGCCCTGGATTCTGGTGCTGTAGCTCCTGGTGCCAAAGTCTGGATCTTTCCACATTTCAGCAGTATCAACACCTGCTGCTATTCGAAATGTTCTGTGGAAAAGGGACAGCGATGGGCTGCCATTTTGAAAATCTGAGTGCAATAGCATTTGATTGTAACAGTTATTTCAGGATATTATTTCTTTAATCTGCACACTTGGTAGAACCGCTGTAAAGTAGATCTATTTTTAAATTGCAGACACCATTTATCCTAAGCAAGTGAAGTTTGGAGGGTTTGGTTCCTCTGGGCTTCACATGGATGAACAGGCTGGCTCTGATTCCAACGTTGGATAGCACATCACTTCTGAAAAAAACCAAGATGTAACCTTTGGGCCCAAGCTGGATGCTAGAGGAAACCTCCAAATAGAAGAGACCCATAGTCAAACTGTTGTCTAATCAAGCCAAATATTCCCTTAGTCCCCATAAACAGACTCTTTTATGACAAGTAGTCTGGGTAGATGGCTAAATTGAGCCAGCAGGTATGTATCTGTGAGTTCTGAGTAAGGAACCTAGTTCTAGAACTGCTTGGCTGAAGGAGGAAGAGCTGGCTGGCTAAATGCCGGGAGCTGGTGTCCTCCACCTGTTCTGTTACCTGCCACTCGGGTACTGAAACAGTCAGAAAAGGCTGCATGGTGGCAGGCAGGAAGCTGTGGCAGTGAACAGTTCAAAGTATGAGTTAAAGGGATGTGTGGGGCCAAGGCTACAGGCAAGCTTGCACACCAGTCATCCCTCATGCAGCAGGGGCCGATGCCTAGAGTAATAGTGGACTTCTTGTCCTGGCAGGGTTAGTTGTTAGCTTTAGTGGGATGCAGAGGCTGGATTTCTTCTCTGACAAAGACTGCCTTGTAAGAGCTGCTTTTTAGGGATTACCTTTTCAACACCCTGAATGGGGAACAGGGTTCTCAACACCTCAACCAAGGTCATAGGAAAGAGGTCCTTTTTTCCTGCTGCTTCACAGCTCAGAACATGTATTGAACGGAATGTATTTTTAAGAGAATAAAGTCTATTTTTTGTATTTTAAAGGTTGGGAGGGCTAGGAAGATAGCCCTTAAATCAACTTATGCATAATAGGCCTTTTGCTGGGGCCTTGGCTCTGTTGGTCCACATCCACTTGCTCAGGCAGGTGGCTCTGGCTTCACTCCCGCCCCTTGGAGTCTAGGTGCAGCAGCTTCTACATTCCTGCTCCAAGTACGGGACCAGAGAGGCCAGAACCTGCCTCTGGAAAGCAGGGCACAGCCACGGGCAGTGGCTCAGGGCTCCTTGGGTGCATGTGTATAGTTGAAGCTGCCTGTCTGCATGTGTCCTTAGGCTGTAATGCTCTCTGTAGGCTCTGCAGCACAATATAACCAATAAAGCTCCCGTTTCCATATGCTCCTTTGAGTCAGTGATGGCAGTTTTGTCAAGATACTTTCTGGAAACAGCGGTTCTCTCTGAATTGGTGCTGCTAGATGGAGTTTCACAAATTTAGGTAAAATGCCTAGCTAATAATTTATGCTGTCAAACCTCCAGAGTTAAAACTAGCAGCTACCTCTTTGCTCTATTTTCCTTTTAGGCTTATTTGTTGTCAAAGAAAATTTGTCACATGCCTTTAATCCCAACAGAGGCTGGATCTCCTGTGAGTTCCGGGACAACTAGGGTTACATAAACAGCATTTTTTTTTTTTGACAGAGTGTGTGTAGCCTTGGCTGTCCTAAAACATACAGCAGAGGGGACTTTAAAGGCACTATAGGAAGAGTTTTGAGATGGGAGATTAGATTTGGACGTAAGTATGAAGGTTCAACTACAAGGTGCTCCATGCTAACACAGATGGGCACTAGTACATGAAAAGTGACAAACATTCCCTTGAAGCCTCCAGTTTAATAGACTGCCATTAGGAATTATAAAGGGGGGTGGGGTGGAGAGATGGCTCAGAGGTTAAGAGCACTGGCTGTTCTTCCAGAGTTCAATTCCCAGCAACTGACATGGTGGCTCACCTATAATGAGATCTGGTGACCTCTTCTGCATAAATGCAGGACACTGTATACATAATAAAATCTTTTTTAAAAAAATTGTAATGGGGCTGGAGAGGTGGCTCCATGTTAAGGGCAATGGACCCCGGTTTGGTTTGTAACACCTGCATGGAGGCCCACAGAAATAGGCATGTGTATAATACATGTAGGCAAACACTGATGCACAAAACTGGAACCTTAAAAAGAACTGGCTGGGCGTTGGTGATGCACACCTTTAATCCCAGCACTCAGGAGGCAGAGGCAGGTGGATCTCTGTGAGTTTGAGGCCAGCCTGGTCTACAAGAGCAAGTTCCAGCACAGCCTCCAAAACAGAGAAACTCTGTCTCAAAAAAACCAAAAAAAAAACCTGTCAGTAGGAGCCCTTGGACCTGACCAAACCAAACCATTTCTCTTCTCCTTACACAGTGTAGAGAAAATACAAATACTATTGTATATGTGCATTTCTGAGGGAGCAACCCTTGTGTGATGAAACTAAGTTTATAGGAGGCTAAGAGATGGCCCAATAGTTAAAACAAAAAACATACTGCCATTGGAGAGTACCCGAATTTACTTCTGAGCACATACATGGATTGTTTGCAACCACCTGTGACCAGTTCTAGGGGATCCAAGGCCTCTGGCCTCCATGGTCGCCTACACTACCAAAACATACACATAATTAAAAATAAATCTTCATATAAAAATCATTTTAAACTTTTATTCTCAAAATATATTAAAAAAAAAAAGAAAGAAAAGCCAAACACCAATAGACTAAGAGGTCTCACAGCACTTGCTTGTCTCAGTCTTTATGGAGACATGATTCCAAATTACTGGGTAAGTTTCTCTCTGTGCTGTCAGTCAAAGGAGCCAGCCTCTGCTGTCAAACTAGGAGTCCTGGAGTTGATGACACAGGAGTTTCTAGTAGGATCGAGTATTGCTAGAAGAGTTTGCTTACAGGGCAGATCACACGTCCATTGGGCCTGTTTTCAGAACCATCTGTCTCACATGCTTGGAGACTGCTGTGCAGGGACACCTGATGTGGCCTGACGAGGCAAAGTGTACATGGCTCCCAAAAACTGATCTGCAATCCTTCCAGCTTCTCGAAGCCCACTCAGCAGAGCACCATGGACTGTAGCTGGGTAGTTCCGGATTGTGTGTTCTCCAGCAAAGAAGAGTCGTGGAATTGGCTATTTGGGGGGAGGGAGAGTCAACAAGTTACTAATGTAACTTACTGTGTTAGAATTGCCAAATTTCTGTTTACTTTTGAAGGCTGATCTACAACCACCACCAGTTAGTTTACTCAAGTCTCTCGATCAGTTTATAGATGCTCAAACATTCTAGTTTTATTTCATGTAGTATCTGCTGGCTAAGATTGGCAGGATACCCTAAACTCTTGAGTCCTAGAGAGGAGAGCCTTCTTAAGCAGGAATGTGTTTGAGAGCAGACACCAAACCTTTGGGTTGTAATAATGAAGAATAAAATACTCTGGAACCCCAAGCAGGATCTATAAGACCCTAGTGACTCAGACCTCTGCAACCCTATAAGCTGTCACAAAATTAGGTACAATTAAAAATAGAGCTTTAAAAAAAAAAAGCTTGTATGCCTGTGGAGGTAGAAGAGGGTATTTGGATCATAGGAGGCTGTGAGCCATTCAATGTACGTGCTGGGGACTCAACTCAGGTTGAAACTTTTAAAGGGGACAAATCTGAGCTAGAAGAAAAATTACTAACTTGCACGTACTTTAGACTCTCATCTTTAGAATCTAGGCATCCTACATTTGCAAAGCCCAGCTATAAGAAATAGTACTTTATTCTGAAAGTAAGAACGGAATGACTAACGCTAAAGTAGCCAGAGATCATTTCTACCCTGAGCTCTTGGCCTTTCCCCCAAAAAGGCCCAGACACAGATTTCTTTCTAGTTTCTTACCTGTGGGGCACCTGGAATCGATGGGCCAGGAGTGATTGGCTGAGCCATTAAATCATAGTCATTTCCAGAAGATCCTGCAGCCACATAAGAATAGGAACCTCGGGCCCAGGGATCGGCACGCCAGCGGGACACCACAGTCTCCTTGGGCTAGACACAGGAGAACCATGAGCATTACTGATAGTGGGACAAATCAGCCAGTACTGAAAAGTAGGCAGGACCCATGTAAGAAAGACAAGGTGATGGATGCTGCTGCTTTGGATGTGGAGACAAGAGGATCCATGTCGCCTCCTCTATGACAAGTACCACTTGACCTTTAACTTTCATAAATTCACATAGCATTAATTCACCATAAGTCTCATAAAGGGCTAAAAGTATTGCAGTTGGCCTGAAAAATAATAAGCTTCAAAGGAATTCTCATAAAACTCCCCAATGTATTCACTGACTTTAGCTGCTTGTTATGTGACCCTGCATACAGAAGGGAGAAACTCAGCTAGCTAGCAGCTGCAATTCTCTGGGTCATATCCAAGAACTTACTGAAAACTGCAGCTAAGCCAAACCTCCCTTCAGCTGTAGCTGGGTCCCTGCTTCTCCACTCACTCACATACCTGTGGTACTGCACTGCTACCAAAAATCCCTTTGAGAATGGCCAAGCACCGACCAACAATCACATCATCACTAATGTTCTCCATGATGCCAGCAGCTTCGCCTGCCACCAGGGCTATTAATATTGGAGCTGAGGAAACAAAAGATGATTTGAGGGTTTTCTTATACTTAAAAGTGTTTTCTTATAAGAACAAAGTCCTGTCAGGCCCTGCTTTGTTCTTGGTGCTGTAGATGTCAATGACCTGTGTTAGAAACAAGTTTTTTGAACTCTGTCCCCAGGAACTGACCAATGGGCACTCCACTGCTTATGACCTCCAAGAGTCAAAGGAACTAACATTTCTATCTTTAGGTATAGAACTTGTAGTCCTAGCCACGTTAAGTTGCTTCCACAGCAACGGCAGCATCCCTTATACCTAGTTCAGACCCTCCCTTCATATCTATCACTACCCTCAGTCATCCATTTGGTGAGTATATAAAAAGATTGCCGTCCCAGGGCTACCTAGTTCCAGGGGGTGTGAAAAGATACAAATTACACTAGAGTTGACATGAATAACCACATATACATAGGATCATGACCTCTAATAAAGCTATGACAATACAGGACATAGTAAAGAGATTCTAGGCAATAGGAATGTGTGCCTTAAAGGCCTCTTCCAATACATTCAGGCCAAGCTGTAAAGGCTGAGCAAAGCAGAACAAAAATGAATACAGACGTTCTGAACAAAGAGCTGGGAGCAGGGTAGACTGGGAAGGTGGGAGGGCTTTTGTGAGGGGCTTAGGTAAGAAATCTGTGTTGCCCTTTTGCTATACAAAGCAATCAGCTAATGTAAAGCAACTAACAGAAGCACGGATACTAGTAATTACTAGCACCTGCTATGAGAGGTGACAGTGGCCTAGACAAGGACATGGACGACGGATAAGGAATGCTAGGGCATGGCATCCTCTCGGTGTATGAATGCCTCTTCAGGGGGGATAGGATGAATGTCACTAGTCAGAAACCACTGCTTAGCAGTGGCCTACAACCGCTGTACTGGAAACACCTGTTCTTCACTCTCTTCTAGGAAGAAGGAATTAGTTACTCAGTGCTCTAGTTAATAAACAGATTATAAAATTAGGATAAGAGATCACATCCTTAAAATGTGTTTATGTTCCCAAGGTTGAGGGAAAGAATGAGGCCTGTCCCTTTTGGCTATGGTGTTTCTTCATTTTTACGTGTTTTCTTCAAAACACTTTGAAGTTTTTTTTTTTTTTTAGGAATTGCTTATTAAGTTAATGAAAAAAAATTAAGGCACATATATGACAAAACTCCCAACATTCCTAGTTCTGTATATTTCTATTAAGAGTATGAAAAAAATTAAACTAGCAAATAGTTACCTTTATATAGGTTCCAGAAGAGGAAGAGTTCGCCCCTGCTAGCAGTTGTGCTGCCAACGTGCCCAAACAAATTGACACTTGGATCCCAGAACACGCGGTCAAAACACAACACCACCTACCACAGGAAGGGAGCATATGAGCTGGCCTCAGAGAGAGTCTTTGTTAGCATTACTGTGTCCTTTAAGGTCATATTTCTTAGACTTATTAACCACTGTCAGTGTAAAAAAAAGAACCCCCATTACATTATGATGTGACTTATGAACTTTACTAGGTCTGAGGTTATAACATTAAGTGTACTTCAATATTATGTAATGCAACCAGGCACTGGGTTATATGAACTGCCAGGCCTCAGGCCTGGAATCCCAGCTGAGGGTGCAGACAGAACAGGCTACATGGAGACCCCGTTCCTCAGTGATGCTACCGGACACTGAGGCTGGTGACAGCAGGAAGGAAAACACATCACCTTGTTAAGGTTGCCAAA